CCTGAGGAAGCTTCCGGGAAGTTTCCAGGTAGCTTTTGGCTAAAGCCTGAGGGCCTATAGGCCCTTGTTTTCAGGCTGTCAGGCTGAAACGACACGGGGCCTGTAGGCCCTGGTTTTCAGGTTGTCAGGCTGAAACAGACACGGGGCCTGTAGGCCCTGGTTTTCAGGTTGTCAGGCTGAAACAGCCACGGGGCCTGTACGCCCTGGTTTTCAGGTTTTCAGCCTGAGGGACGCAGAGCCTGGAAAATGGCCCTCGTGTGCAGGCAGCATGTAACACCCCCCCCCTCCTCATGAAGTCAAGCCGGGGCGAGGGCGAAGCTGATGATCTGAAGGTGGAACATGGACGTGGGCGAGGCGTGGAGCAGAAGAGACCGGCTTGCCTTGCATCTTGCGTTCGTAGCGTGCGAGAACGTCTGGAGCTGTTGCTTGAAGTTCTGCACGGGTCAACCAACGGTCCGCTCGATGTGTGTAGTATGCAAAATGTACCAAGTACTCGATTGGTCTGTTGCCGTAGCGTTGCTGGGAGATGATGTCGCCAACCTCCTGAAAACCATCCATGGAGGGTGGGTCTTGCGAACGTCTCATGGGAAAATCGTCATGTTCCGCTGGCGTGTAAAGAGCCAACTTGGAGCAATGAAAGACTGGGTAGACGGGCAAGTGGCCGGGTACCTGACTCGTGAAGGAAGGTCCCTTAGGTGCGACCCCAGCGGGTGCCACGATCCGCCTAGGCCCCATCCATTTCGGGAGGAACTTGCGAGAGATCTTGTTCAAAAGGCTGAATTCCGCTGCGGAAACCCACACGAGGTCGCCGGCACGGAATGGGCAAGGAAGATGCTGGCGATTGGTATGCTGGCTCATGCGCTGCTGCGTCTTGGCCATCTGGTCGCGTGCCTTGACAAGAAGCTCTTGCGTCCGACGCAAGAAAAGAAGATGGTCGTCGCTCTCGGTCGTTCGTGGAGTAATAGTGTCCCACGGTGAAGTGACCGGCGAGCCGTGCTCGAACTCGAAAGGCGATATCACGATAGCCGGGTGGATGGAAGAGTTGTAGGCCAACTCGACTGGCGAGCTGAACTGGGCTTGAAGATGAGCCCCATCGCTTGATGAGCGCCAACCAAAAATCGGATCTGAACTGGGTGTCGCGGTCGCAGACGATCTCCTTGGGGTAACCCTTGGTTCGAATCCAACCGGCGTAAAGAGCCTCGGCCAACTTCGGTGCCTTGGCATGATAGCAACAAGGCAAAAACATGGCGAACTTGGTGAGTCGGTCGACCACAGTGAGAATCCCATCCACTCCGGTCTTGTGCTTGGGGAACGGGCTGGTAATGTCCATGGCAATCGCTTCCCTTCGCCTCAACGGGACCAGTAATGGTCGTAACTCGCCGTACGGATGATGGTTGCGGGATTTGCAGCGTCGGCAAACCTCGCATGACTCGCAATAGCACGTGACGTCGCCGAGAAGGTCGGGCCACCAAAATCACTAGCGAAGTCGGCCAATCGTGCGATTGACTCCAAAGTGTCCGGTGGCGGGAGCATCGTGGAACTCGCCAAGAAGCCGTGTACGCAAGTGAGGATCACTCGGTACGCAAAGAAGGTCATTCCCCTGCGTGTGGACAAGCAAGTACCCCTCTTGGATCCGGTACTGAGAAGGCGCGAGATTAGGAGAGGAGCAATTCGCGTACTTGTCGCGAAACTCGAGGTCGGTTTGGTAGTCGTGGATGAAGCTGTTCCGCAGGTCATTGTCGATCTCAAAAGTTGAGTAGACTGCGGTACAATGGTCCGGACGCCGCGAAAGAGCATCCGCAAAGCGGTTTGACTTGCCCGGAAGGTGGTCGGGGAAAAAGTCAAACTGGTCGATGAAGGCCATCCAACGGGCAATGGTGCTATTGACCGTGTCTTGGGTCTTGTAGAAGACCAATTGATTGTCATCCGTTACCCATCGGAACTGCCGTCGACCGAGAAGAAAATGCCGCCAGCGCTTGAGAGCGTGTATGAAGGCCAATAATTCCTCCTTCCGTGCGTCGTCAATCGAGTGCACGGTGGGCACTTTCTTGCTGAAGTACTCTCGATCGGGTGCCAGTCCACACCGTCATGTTGCTCAAGGATGGCACCAATGCCATAGCCGGACGCATCGGTAGTGACACGTGTCGGCAAAAGCGGATCGTAGATGCGCAACACCTCCGCGGATAACAATGCGGCTTTGAGAGCCAAAAATGAAGTTCGCGCATGGTCGTCGAAGTCGAATGGCCGGTCCTCACATTAAAGCTTGGATAAGGGAGCCGCGATCTTCGAGTATCCCCTGATGAAGCGGTTGATAGTAGCCGGCTAAGCCAAGGAAGGAACGCACGTTTGTGACGGTCTTCGGCTCCATCCACTCTTGGATGGCTTGAATCTTGTCCGACAACGGACTGATGGCCTCCGGTGTGACAAAATGGTCCAAGTATTCCAGCTCTTGCCGGACAAATTCGCACTTGTCGCAGTTGGCTTTGTACTTGGCGCGGCGGAGTGTCTCCAACACTCGTCGAAGGTGCTCAAGATGATCCTCCAATGTTCGGATATAGACGAGGATGTCGTCTAAGTCGACTAGTACAAACCGGTCCAGCATCGCATGAAACTCGTTGGTCATTGCCGCTTGAAAGGTTGCCGGGCCATTGGTGAGGCCAAACGGCATAGCGATCCACTCAAAGTGTCCGTAGCAATCTTGCGGGCGTATCGAGATTTGATGGTAGCCCGACTTCAAGTCAAACTTTGAGAAAAAATTTGCACCGCCCAAACGCTCGAGAAGGTCGTCAATTCGCGAAAGAGGTTCCGCATTCTTGACGGTTTGTGCGTTGAGCTTGCGGTAGTGGATGCACAAGTGAAGATCCTTGTTCTTCTTTCGTACGAAGAGAACTGGCGCACCATATGGTGAGCTGCTAGGGCGGATCCAGCCCTTGTCGAAAAGATCGTCGATTTGAGCGCGGAGAACCTCGAGCTCCTCCTCGCTCATGCGATAGATGCATCCTTTCGGCGGCACGAGACCGGCCTCGAGAATGATCTCGTGGGAGATCGGCCGATCCGGCACCACACCGGTAGGAAACTCGAAGATGTCGGTGAACTCCTCTAGCAGCCGCACCACTCGGGGGTCCAAAGACAAGTCCGTTGGTGAAGATTCGGTCGTCGAGGCGGCTCGTAGAAAACATAGGCCGATCTCGGCGGTCCGCTCGTAAGCCCAAGTGGCCCGAAAAGACTTGGCCGTTACAACTTGGCACCGGATCGAGGAGTGCGGAAGAGGAATGGTACACAGCACCTCGACGCCGAAGGCGTCGGGAACGGTAAGTGTCCGCTGATGGAAGTTAACCGTGTGATCCGCACTTGCAAGCCAAGGCATGCCCATAATGATGTCGAAGTCCGTGTCCAAGACGTCAAACGTCACCGGTTCGCATGCATGAGGTGCGAAATAAACCGGCACGGCTTCAATATAGCGATCGAGGAGTTGTTGCGTCTGACCGTCCGCCAACTTGATCGCCGTCGGGTTTGGCTTCCTTCGAACTTGAGCGCCAAGGCCGGCCCTTTGGATAAAGGATTGGCTGATGAAATTGCGAGTCGCGTCGCTATCCAGCAAAGCGCTGCAGGACGCTTGCCCAACTTGGATGCGGACGTAGAGGAGCAGTGCGTTGTTATCATCGTACCGCTGCAATCGAAACTCGCGGGCCACCTTGGCAACGTACGCAAGGATGTCCCCCACTGCAGCTTCGTCATCCGTCGACGAAGATGGTGGTGCATGGAAGGCTAAGTATGTGTGGATATGCGCGCATAGTGCTGCGCATTGCGGTCCCTGCAAGCAGCCTGTGGAAGGGAGATGAAGCCATGCAAAGTCAACGGACATCAACGGGTCCAAGACCTCTTTGTTGAACGTGCGTCGAATCCCTTGAAGAGCCACTTGAAGACGATCTATTGTTGTTGTTGCCGGACGGACAAGAAGTCGTTCACACATCTTGTCCTTGAGCTTGAGAACCCAGCGAAGGAACGAGCCGGGCAGCATAGTCCTCATAAGAATACAAGAGAGGACTGTCGACTTCTGCATGTGCCGCGGAATGAAGAGAGGTCGCTCGCCAAGCAACTGATTCCGAAGGCGTCGAGAGTGCAGTCGCATCACTCTCGGCGGTGCTCACTTTCTCGAAGGGGATTTGGCTTGGACCGGTGTGGGGCACGTTGCGGTGTTGTGCACTGCGCTGTCACCATACCGGGCGACTGCCAATCTGTCTCCTTCCTCAGAAGAGGCAGCCTCGTTTGAAATGTTGGTCGCTGTAGTTGCTGTGACCACGACCACTTTCGGTCGATGCTGTCCTCTGCCCTGGCCTGCAGCAGACGAATGGCCCAAATTCTTGGCCTCGATGTTCGTCAGGATGATTTGCGAGGCTTTGTCAAAAAGCTGCTCACTTGTGGTGAGCGTCTCCGTAACTTGCGTCAAGGCATTCTGCAATGTCGGGCAGAGTGCTTGATAGCGACGAATGTTGACGGTAAGTTAGGCGTGGATGCCAAGCGTTGGTACTCGGTGATTCAGTTCGTGCTTGGCAGGTCGTTCTGATAGAACCGTTGAAGTTTCTCGGTTGCCTGAAGCTCGGGCGGCTCCACTTGGAACCGCTTATATGCCATGCTGCCTTGAGATCAGCCCAGCTGATCTTCGTATGCAGCTCGGAGACTGCGACGTTGTGCGTGGACAACGTGTTGTCCAGCCATGCCTGGCACGCTGTCGCACTTTTTCCAGTCAGGCCTCTTCGGGCGACCGGAAAGCCAACAGGCTGTCACGCAGGATTTTGTATGTGATTGCAATAAATAAAATAAATTAAATAATGCAAATCCCTTCCTGTTGTGTGCGTCCGGCATCGAGCGAGACCCTTCAATTGCGGTCTTCGCCGGTCCCCGGTCTTAGGAATCTTTTATTTTGATTTGGAACAGGAGAGAATTTTGTAAATAATAAACATAAAATTATAGTGTGTTGTACATGCGTCAATTACGTCAATCTGGTTTTGAGAACTGTGACAAAAACATCCACAAAGGCAATCATCAAGCAAGAATGATGCAGGAAACGAGGCTGATTGACCAGAGCAATGACAGGGGCAATTGAGTGAGGGAAGAATGAAAACTCATAATAATCCCAGAAAGTACACGTGAATGAGCATGGTCAGCACCTCTCAAGAGTCCTCACTCATCCCTCTAGTCAGTCTTTCTCTCAATCTCTTTTCACTGATCTTCTCTGGTGCCGTGACCCACGCCCACGTACAATCTGAGACTGAGGCTTCGTGACAAAAAGCCACCTGTAGCCAGCAAGCTCTGAGCAAGACCATCCGAGGCACATGACACGGTAGTTAACCATGGAGCAAAACTCCTCCCACAAAGTAGGTAGCCCGTCCACTGAAAAGACTCCTCGTCTGAGGTAGGGATACTCGGTGGGCTCAGTTAATGCCTCAATGTTAGTATAGAGCATAGGCCCGAAGCTGCGGATCAGCGTAGTGCCACTCATATCGAGCTCTCTCCCTTTCTGCTCAAGATACTCCGTAGCTGAGATCCAGACTGGATCAAAGTGCTCATGAGTTTCCTTGCCCTTCTTCAGGTAAGGTCTCAGATCGTGAATGGTGCCATCAGCAAAACTGGTCTGGACAATGAAGATTGACAGGTCTCCCTGTCTGAAACCGATGGCACTAACATATTGATAATGGAATGCCTCCTTGCATGAAATCCGGTTGAGGCAGGCCAGCACTGACTCACTGACAGGCGTAGACTGAACCGTGCTCATGAGTACCCCTGTCAGTGCAAACTGACCAGATGATCTCGGAGGAATAGTTACCAAACTGACCACAGGGAAACTGAATGTTGGAGACTGATTGCCAATAATTGATTGCTGATAATAGATTGCTGATTAAATGATCTCCGATGACTGGTCGCTGAGCGTCCAGGTGGGTGAGTTGTCCTCGTTCAGAGACAGAACACTCACTGGTGGCAGCTAACAACCCTCCTTGCTTCCTCGATAGTGCACACTGAAGTTATGGTGACACATAGCCTGCCGTCCTTATCATGCAGGTAGTATGTGTATTCGATTCTCGTATGATCCCTCACGAGAGCCAGTGCGTGTTCCATCATCACAACAGTCTGCTGATTGTATTCCTCAACTGCGCTCTCCGTCCAAGTCTCCGCAGTGCTCTGATGCAGTGAGCAGGAGACCCTAACCGTGTCACTGCTCCCCATTATCCTCTCCAAATCCTCGCTACATCAGCTCATCCGACCTGAGACAGGTGACCTTCAGGTAGTCCAAACATGAAAAGGGGCTATTGGGTAGAGTGCTGTTTAAAACAGTCGTTTCAGATTGCTATCTCTCGTCGCTGTTCCTGGTTGCTGTTCTCCGGCCGCCGTTCGTCTGCTGTTTTGAAAACTGACGGGTTGCTATTCTGAAAAACTAGTTGCTTGCTGATCTGGAATCCAGCCGCCTGCTGTTCTGGAAACTGATTCTGAATGGCTGTTCTCTGAAAGCTATTTCCCGTATGTTGTTTCTCGAACGTTGTTTCTAAATGCTGAGCCTGAAAGTTGAGTATGGATTTTTATTAAATGTTGATCGATTTGCTAATTGATTATCGATTATCCTGTGAAGACTGTTTACTTGCTGATGAAACCTGTTGTGGTTCGGGTTGACCGTTGCTTGCTGGAATAGACAACAATTGTGGCTATGTGAACAGACTATTAGTTGCCATCCTGTGCGCTGTCCGGAATAGTCGTTCGAAGTCTACCTGAAAGAAGTCTGAAAGTTAACTGTATGTGGCTCGGTCATCAATAACGGTGCCGTGCACTTCACGCGGGGATCACCGTCAAGTGCTGATCAACATCAACAGTACTATGCACCAGTGCCAAACTTTGTTGTGTGAGTTCTCTGGCTTGTTTGAATATTGATCAAATAATTGACTGACTGACAATTAAGTAGTGAATGAGTAGTGACCGAGTAGTAACCGAATAATGATTGAGTAGTGACCGAGTAGTGACTGAACATTGTTATATACACTGTTCCGAGCTCTGAATTCAGCACCGAGCACCGCTCTGAGCACTATACTGAGTTCTGAGTACTGATTGTTGGCCTGAGTACAGTTTGAGTATTCGTCTGAGAATTGCCAAAATACGTCTACGAATCGTGATTCACCATGCTGCAAGAGGGAAGGTGTAATTTGATGCCAATTGAAGTTGATAGAGTTCCGTGTGTGGTGATTAGAATATTACAGGGTTCATACGAGTCTTGCCCTGGCCTGTTCTACCGTCTCTAGAGAGGAACTAGCACTGTGAATCTTGTCGTTGCCTCCGTAGAAGTAGATCACATATTCAATATACTTCTCATCCTTCACCCTCCGAACTGCGTACTCACGTTGGATTATCCTATGTAACCTCATGTCCTGATATGCTCTTTCCTCCCATCCTTCTCCTTTTTCTCTGTTCAGTTCACTTTTCACCACCAGAACTTCGCTCCCCTTCATGACTTTTGCAGAGACTGTGTCGTGAGATTACCAGGCGGGTCTCATCAACCAGAGTAAAAAGAAAGATGGAAATGTAGAAACTCTCCTCACTAGTACTCCTATATATATAGCCTCCTGATGAGTCGGTGAAACTCCGACGAAACAGTTTGTCACAGCCCCTCGTTTGTTGTCCTCTTCTCCCTCTCTGCCTACGGTTTACCGGGCAGTTCTATTTGACGATATATATATATATATACGTGTCACGTGGTCTTATTGGGTCACAAAAACATGGCTGAATACTGTAGATAGCTTCCTAACTTCAGAGGTCTTTCTCAGCGAGTTCAAGTAGCGTCGATCGCCAAAATATCAATGTCCCCTCCTCTGGAATAATCGCCTCGATGTCAGAGTTTACCCTTTTGTCATGAGTGGGATAAGGCTAACGGGTGCTGCTCACAATGGAAACTTCATGGTAGTGCTCATTCCGACGCTACTCATTGCACACTTAATTCATGCTTCGTAATGACCTGCACAGAGCATTTTAGCGGTCTCCCTTTTAATTTTTCCTTTCAGCTTCTGGTCTGAGAGACTCGTCCGGAGTAAGTGCAGTCCTCAGGCTTAAATTGCTGACCCACTGGGGTTGAAAGTTGTATTCTCACACGTGGGAACACTCATACTATTTCGAGCCCTCACGCCCAATTGTTAGATCAAACTATAAGTAAAACTGAGTGTCGACTCTTGCTAAAATTATTCTTTATTCATCACAAGAGGGTCACAGACAACCAGGGAAGAGCTAGCATTGGTCTCTGTCAAACCCAACTACACTGTAGGTTACTTGCTTGCTTACTGAGAGCCATGTAGGTTTAAACTGAGCCGCTCCGCTCAATTTCCTCTTCCCACTCAGTGTGAACTCTCAAAAAGGCTCAACTAATCCCCATCAAATAGGTACTTGACAAGAAGGTAAGCAACCTTCTTCAGGATTGACTGTCGCCTGCTCATCGATCATGGGATATGTGTCTTGTTAAACCCGGATGCACTTGATAACCATCAAAAGAAAAGAAAAAAAGAAGGAACTCAACCACACCGATCCAACTGCCGAAAAGCAGTTTCTTCGACTGGGGAATCACAAAACAAAGCCACAATTTCCAGTTCACTCGCTCTTACAATATTGCAGGGAAGAAATAACGCATGATCAAAGCGTAGGACAAAAGGGCGCCAGTTCAACACTCACTGGTGAAAAAGGTCATCCATATGAGACCAGAATCTTGACCAGCGAGATTCTCGATAGTGCCTCGTACCATTGACACAGCATCATTAAGGAAACCCCATTGCTTTCAAAGATGATCTTTCCCTTTTTCTCAATCAAAGGTCAGGGCATAAAATGCAGCCAAAAGAGATCCTTACTACAGCCCCCTTTTGACATACAAGCTTACTCAGTAAACCACGAAGCGGGCTCGCATAATCGACCATATGTTTGCCTTCAGTCATTAAAACTCGCGAGGCATTCAATCTACTCGCACAGGCATTTGGGGGCCTTCACAGTCACACACGCGGTTCAACTCAGGGCACAATCAGTCACTTTCCACTATAGGCACCATTCGGTCAGTTGGGCATATGCAGACCAGTGCGCCCACAGCTTCATGCTGTCCCTCGAAGCGATCGCGCAGTGCGACCACGCGCTACAATCACACAAGCAGTTGCATGGCGCAGTCCCGCAATGCACTCACACAGTGCGAGAGCACGAAGCAGTTCCCAAAGTGCATTCATGCGGCGCGGAGAAACGATGCAATCACACAGTTCATTCACGCGATGCGGAGACACAAAGCAATCACATAGAAACAGACACTCAGAATAACCATATAAAATAGGCGTTCAATGCGGCTACGTGGCGTTGTTGCATGTTGCAGTAGCGCGATATAGACACGCGATGCAACTACATGGCACAGTTGCACGGTGTAGTCGCACGATGCATTCACATGGCACAGTTGCACACGAATACAGAGGTGATTCGTTTCTTTGGCCTTGCCATGTGACCAGTTGAACCTCTCACACAGAAGAATACGGCCAATAGACAGTGTCAGTACCAAAATTACCCAACCACCTCAGTCTTGCTAATTCCCTTAGAATAGCAGCCCGTACGTTGGACTCTTTTCACGACGGACACATTTCCAATTATGTCTATGAGTCGGGGCTTGTCCCCCTTTTGTTTGCCTACTCACGCAATCTACTGGAAGATTGACCCTTGTCTTGACGGAACGTAACTGGCTAACAATGATCAATCACCCCGGTTAACTGAAGTAAAAGGAGACGAGAGCCGAAAATTAATAAATCGAAAGAAATATTCTCGTGATAGTTACTATCTTATCTGAGAATTTCGTCCACAGCAACTACAATGAAAAGCATCAACTGCCTCTGGCAGTCACAAGTTTAAGATCGCTCAGAGGCGGCTTGACAGGTGGTAAGTAGAGTCGCCTTCAAGAAAACGAGACTCTGTCATCGTACAGAAATGCGGAGGCGCTGTTGACATCACCAGTGCTGCTTCCCACTCACACATTCCACTCACATGCAGCGAGGAAGAAGAGTAGGTACCTGGTGTTGAGCGCCCTCTCTTAACCCGTGAGCGACACAATCAAGCGGCTGGGCAACTGTCTTGGCACTCATCAGAGCTTCTTCAAAAGTTTCCACGATAATCGCCTCAGAAAGACGTTTCCCTGAGGGTTATCTTGACAGCTCACGGAAATGGTAATACACCCAAGCCTCGTTGCCCAAGAGGCGAGCTACATTGACCTCTCCATCACCTCTCACAACCTTACTGTCTGTCTCACGCCACTTACACTCGTACGCCGCTCGTTACGGTCATTTCTCAGGCTCGTCACGTAGTGCAGTCCAGTTGACGTCAACATCTATCACTCGTACGTTCATCTTTTGTCCTTCCGTGTTGACCTGTTGCACGTCTCCCCTTTCTCTCTCTACGTGTGTCAATTCCTCCCCTCCTATATGTGCCTCACACCCATTTCTTGCCCTTACCCTGTTTCCCTCCGGTCCCGCGGCCTCTGGGAGTCGGCTGTCGTGAGCTGGCCTCGGGGCCCTTCTCCACCGGTTCCGTGGCTTGGTGGTGCCTTTGGATCTCCTCGGGTCTGTTCCAGGACCTGAGATCCGTCTCACGGTCCGCTTCGCTCATTTCACTCTCCCCGCCTGAGTCTCTCTCGTTGTGCTGTTCCTGCCTTGTCTCGGTCCCAGTGGACGACTCGGTCTCATGATAGATGACCGTCACTCTCAAGCCCACGGTCACCCCGTCTCGTCTGCACCTGCGCTCCGCCCTGTCGCGCGCTTTGGAAATGGCAGCCTGCAGCCTCTGGTCAGCTCGCATCTCCTCCTCTCTCCCCCCTTCAATACAGACCTTCAGTCGACCTACTTCTCCCCCATCATAGTTTCGGGCCGTCGTAATCAGGGGGCCTTCACCTGACACTGGGACCTAGCGCACCGTGTGCCGCCAACAGCCAGGCCTATAGCCGTGTAGCGCCATTGCTACTCAGGATAGCCTGCCCCGCTCGATAGATAGCACAACCCTAGACCCAACACTCGTGCCCACAGACTATCCAACGCTTTCTCAGGACAACAACGTCAACACAACAGAAGAGGCTTCACTGCCAAGAACTCGTTTGCCTCACCTCTTTATAGGCTCACCCCTCACTATGACCCCCGCGCTCTAAAAGAAGAGTTCTGCTCTGGCCTTCTTGTTAATAGTCTTAATATTCCAAAATATAAAGCAAAATAAAAACTGAATAATTCGAAGCTGAAAACTCAACGGTCAAAGTATGGTTCGAAATCGCTATGCTGCCATCAAGCCACTAACTATCACGATGTGACCACGACCCAATCTCTGAAGTCCCATAATGGGACACTGACAAACATTTTTCTTTCTTTAAGACGTACGCGTTGGCCTATTCCCGATGGGTACCCGTGTCCGATGGCAAGGAGGGGGTTTATGACCCTCTTTAGGGGGTGATATTCCTCCTACCTATGCGGCCGCGGGTCGCCCCCCTTTTGGGGCCTTACCGCACTACGCTAAACCAAAGCTAGCCCACAGAGAGTATACGTGGGGTCGACCTACTTAGGCTGGGAGTCGCCGAGTTCGAAATACGAACCGTTGGCCTTCCCGTGAGATGACAGGCCGACAGGCGGGAATCTGGAAATAAGAAAAATTAATACTAATACTACTAATAATAATAATAATAGTGATAAATGACAATCAATGCGGAAAGAAAGGACGGCGCTTCAAGTTTCCTTCGCGTCGCAGGCTTCGCATGAATAGCGTTGCAAGTTCACGCACATGCCCAAAACCCGATTTTCATCATTACCCCTTTCCCTTCTTTCTCACCTTTCCCTTTTTCAGGCCCACTGCAGCTGCCCTGCAGTACAACTACTGGGGTCCTACCGCGGAGAGCCTCAGGTGTGCGGACCCGGTACAGATAATATTCGAAAGGTTGGGCCTGCCTAGACCACAATACCACCGCCCGAACTCGAAGTCTGGTCCTGTTGGTCTCCCTACGAAACAACAGACCAATCAAGGAAAGCTGAAAAAGGGATAACGATAACAACAAGTAAATAATAATAATAATAATAATAGAGTGAGACGCAACGATAACCGGGGGTCAGAGGCCATCAGATTTCCCCGAACTGAAGCTAGTAGTCCAACTGCGTTAAAGTTAGACCCTTGTTTTCATTTTCCATTTTTCTTTTCTTGCTGCTTTTTGCTTTAGCCTTCCGTTTCTCTGACTGCTGTCAGCGTCATGCACCTGACCCATAACCCTGTAGAGGGGTGCTCGGTGCATAATAGAAAAGACAGCGCCTTTCTCTGAACTTTCGCGTCCCAAGGCGAACCCGACGGCTACCACGGCCACAGGCCGGTTGTGCTCTGCTGTACAGCAGGGCGCCAAGCCTGCGTGGACCAATGGAAGTCTTGTGGCGCACCCCTTTCGCTGAGGGCTACGCCACCGGGACCTGTCCACGCCGAGAAACGATCCAGGTACCAGCGCAGGAAACTGGCACTATGCAGAGACTTGGTACACAGGAGGGCCGGGACACCGTGCCCTCCGACAACGTGCCTCCCGAGCGGGAGTATAAGTACGAGTGCCGGTTCGGATTGATGACGTGGTGAATGTCCAACTTCAGCTCAAACTGACGCCACCATGGGATCGAGTCCGTCTTCGTTGCATCGCAGAAGATCGGGAGGCCGTCAAACTTCGGAATGCTCTCACGATTGGTCGCGGTTGGACTGGCTGCGGCAACGCAAATCTGCTGGTCAATCCGCTGACTTGTCGTTAAAGCGCCGTCCTTGAGAGTCTCGACGTCGATCTCCAAGACGTTGATGCGATCCGCCAAGTTGGAGGGTCCGGCGGGGGTGGCTGTTGCAAGCTGCTGTTCCAGCCGGCGTACCCGGTCAAGCAGTTCGTCAATCACACGAATCTGCTTCCGGGCCAGGGTATCCATGCACAGGATGTCCTCTTGCTGTGCTGCACAGGTGGCGACCAAGTCGCTAACATGTTCGATTGTGGTTGCAAGGCCACGCACAGCAGAGGGGGCACCCTCCTCTGCAGCAGCCACTGCCCATTCGCCGGCGATGACCTCGATATCCCCCTCGCATTCGAGGAGTTTGTCTCGGCGTAGTCGACGGCATTCATCTGCGGCCGTCGCTGCTGCCTCAGCGTCCGCCTGTCGCTGCTGTTCAGCGAGTCGATGCTGTTCCTCTGCTTCATCGTCTTCCTTCTTACGTGCGGACGGTGCCGCAGCTGCCCGTTGCTTGTACTCGGCTACCATGTCCAGCATGCGGGCCTCATAGGCCTCGGTAGTCTTGCCTGGCTGCTGCTCCATGCCGCTTGTCTTTGAGCGGGTGAGCACCATGCACTGACGTGTCCTGCCGCTGTGGCCTGCTGACGTGGCTACTTACCAATGCCGTGTACTGCTGACGTGGCTACTTACCAATGCCGTGTACTGCTGACGTGGCCTGCTGATGTGGCAACTCACCAATGCCGCCGCAGGGAGTACCCGGAGGGAGATGGAGAAGACCAGATGGGGCAACAGCATAGGTGGGGAGGGGGGATGAATCGCCCAGATAAGGAGCCACAAATCAAAAAGAAAAGTTTGAACTCTGCAAAAAAAATTCGAAAAAAAAAAAATCCCGAGTTTTGCAAGTTCAGTAGGTCTCCCAACCTCCCTTGAAGTACGAAATGATCATTGAGAGAAAAAATTTCGACTTCGGACTGCAAATGATTTATAGACTGACTAACAGAATCCTAGAACTGCAAAAAAAAAAAATTCCGAAAAAGAAATAAAATATTCGGACTTACTCAGATGAGAGCATTCGCAATTTGGAAAATAATACCGGCAGGAGGGATTTCCCTTAACGTTTTCAGGAAAAACGAATTGCGAAAAAGAAGATATTTCGAATTTTTAAGTAACGGGAAATGCAACAGGAAATCGAAATTTTCGAAAAGCAGGATATTCCGGATTTTCAACAACGAATTTTCGAATTTTCAGAAGAAAAATGAAAATGGAAATTTCAGATGTTGCGCTGTTGCGATTTCCCACAACAGAATAGCGAGAAAACAAAATCCAAGAAAAGAAAAAAAAAAATGATTTTCGGTAGTGAGGTCAAAATCGTGATTTTGGGGTCTAACTAGTGTGTTCTAATCAATCAATAAAGACTAATCAGTTACCTAGTCCCCGCACACGTGTCAGATCAGGTTGTCCTGATTCACGTGCGAAGCTCTGATACCAACTGTTACATGCCCAGTTGGGCGATGTACATAAGAACCGAGGATCCGCAATGTGATGAAAAGGACTGAATGGACAATGCAGTGCAAGTAGAATCTCAACAAGCAATGTGCATTCCAATACATACAAAATG